ACACGCTTACCTTACTTTGCGAGCTATCGCCCCCCTCCTTTAATCATCGATCCCCACTTCACCTTCACTCCCCATCAGTTCCCCGACCATTTCAAGACTTACACGCCACTGAGAGAGAATCTGCCTTAAAGTTCCTTTACTCGCACACGATGCCCTAAGCCTACAAATTACCTCAAAGGGTAGTCTACAATTTAAACTGAGTGAATGCTGGAGTGTATGTTTCGTACCGTTAAAAAATTACATTCTCTACTAATCGTCATACATCATTTGCTTACAATCGGTGTGTGCTGTCCACATGGTTGTGTATGCACGTGGTCTATTGTTTTTATTATTACATGTACACTCTGATGTCAAAATATGATGTTATACCAATTAACATGTTGAACATCGCCAAGTGCATAAAAACCCGACTGTAATGTAAGATAGCCCCGGGATGTTTTGTGCGACTGTTTTAAAATGTTATATTGTAAGTTATTATGTATTCCTGAACAAACGTGTCATCACGTGTCGAAGTTATATATCATCATGTTATCCCTGTAATGACATTTTAGACATGAATAAATCCAGTGTATATCATCTGTGTTGGTAATATGATTCCATTAAAACCAGTGCTGTTAATACAATGTTGATGCAGACTGATGGGATTATCTTACTGTCTGATGAGTTAATATATGTATCAAAGCCGAACACTCCATCAGAGGTACAGATCGTTGTAATACACACATCTACATCCGATTCGTTTGTTCAAATCAAGATTTATCGTTGATTAGATTACAACTAATATTACAACCGGAAATAGTTGATGTTACATAATTTTGTATGATGAATATATTTTATACATGCATTTCAAAGGACTTCCTTTAGTGAAGACATTCGATAAAGGAAAAAATTCCGACAGCAGTTCATATTTCCGTTTAAATGCAGTTTGATTGAACACAAGCAGCCAACGTACAATTTTATTATACTCTGAAGACATTCTGTCACTTGTTTCTAAAATGTGTTCATTAAAATACAAAGTGACTGCGGCTGGTGATAAGAGCAAATGCAATGGCAATAAAAGATATAGTGTGGTTTAGTGCTTTGATTTGCAACTATAACTATAGCATAATTTTATTTGACAATAATTGGAGGTACCTTACCTTACTTTATAAATGTACACTAACTCTACCCTCGACAGCTAGGCCCTACTGATAGGCATACTACACGCTTACTCGAAACGTTTTGAGTTATTAAATATTTGGGAGTAGTTAAAGAATAGAAAAAGGTTTTGTTTGTTCAAATTATGTTAATTGCACGGGGACCAATTCACCTTCACTGGAAAAGTAACGCGGTTAAAATGACTAAAGATGACTAGGCCTAGTGTATAGATTTATAAATGCAGGGTGTTAGCCTATAACAACTCCCTGGTAAAGGTAAATTTATAGGTTTTCGTACTGAATGCGCATATTGCTACTGTCCTGTGCTCTAATTCCTACAACTTTACTTCAGCAATGGTTCCACACTGTCGAGGTGCTGCCCGGTTTGGTAGCGGCAAAGTCGCCTTCTCCACAACAATGAAAGGACCAGAACAACGGGGTATCCCTCATCCGCTATTCTCGAAGGATACCCAGTTTTGTTTATGTACACACCGGGCCTAGATTTATAATCATTATCAGAAAAAAAAAAAACTTGTTCTACCCACCAAACCATGAACGTCAGAAGGCCGGCGAACTTCATTAACTGCTGCGCAACGTGATTTGTAAAGAAGGATATGAAAGAGAAAATCAACTTAGGACTAGCTATGAAGCAGCACACTTTAGTCTGTTTATTTTTACCTATGGAGCTTAACCATGTATGCTATCATTTGACGCACTTTTTGCTGCTTATTTCTTCAGTTACCGGTTTAAATCGAAACGTCAAGACATTTTCAACAAAAACAACAGTTCTTTTCAGAGCTATATACGTGGTGTACCGCAAGCATTTTTTAAAATTTTAGTTGGAGCACAATTCAATAGGCCTATATATAATGTATATATATATATATATATATAATATAGGCCTATATATATATATATATATATGTGTGTGTGTGTGTGGGTGTGTGTTGTGTGTGTGTGTGGGTGTGTGTGTGTGTGTGGGTGTGGGTGTGGGTGTGGGTGTGTGTGGGTGTGGGTGTGTGTGTTTTGAGCACTGTGTCCATTTGATTTATACATTATTTGTGTTCCCAGTGCAAAACAGCAAA